TGCCCGAGCCCAGAAGATGGAGGTTATAGTGAGCAGTAATCATGTCACTACCCTCTAGCCTGGGCAACAGAAAGAGAATCCACTCAAAAAAAAATAAGTGAATAAATCAATAACTAAACAACAAGATGCCCCCCCCCCACAATTTGGAAAAATGCTTTTGTCAAGGGGTCTTTCATTACGACGGGAAACTTAGTGGACCTAGGCTAATACAGCTCAGAACTAGGGAACTTTATTTAAAGCACTGCCACATGGGTGCTGCCTTCAGCATAGAGTCTTCACTGAATTGTTGGATGGCTCTGTCATGTTAAAAATATGTAAATTGGGGGACAGTTCTTATATTGGGGGACAGTCCGAAATCTGTTTTCTGGTGTTTATTTCTTTACTTATTTTTCCATGTGTAGGGGTTACAGTTTTCAACCACTGGATGACAATATGTTGCATTGATGTCGGCATTAACCTTAGTTTTTGCCTTTGGCAAATGTATGCAATTGATCTTATTTTTGTTTATCCCCCCCACCAACAGATGCCTGATTAAGGCACGCAAATCTCAGCACAGGTCTTTATGATGACTCTTCCCATCAATCAAGGCTGGCACTGATATGGAAAACAACTTTTCATAGCTGGCTTATTTCATATTTCATCTGACGGCATTTTAAATATTTGAAGATAAATCACTTTCTAATTTTTCTTTCGGCCAATGTAATGTCAGAATTTTTCTAAACATTATTCAGTAGTAATGGTTATCAGGTCCTTCACCACAGATACACACCAATCCCTCAGTAGCCCACTTAAGCCATTTTACAGAACTGAAATCTTCATTCTGAATACCTGGATATTGGGCAAACAGAGAACAAGATGGACATTACTAATAAAACTTGGGCAACATGAGCATCAGAGCACTTCGCCCACGCAAGCCTTCTCTTGTTCAGAGCATACACATTCTTTGCTCGTATGCTATGATTTTAGGATTTTCTTCTCACCATGTACATTTGAAGTTTTATTTTATATTTTTCTTTGAGAAAATTTTTACATTAATTCCCACTATTTTTTATGCATTTGGTCTATCATTACAATTTGTTCCTGAATCCATCTTGACATTATTTTTACTCTTTCAACCATATCATTATTATGCCCTGATCAAAAGCATAAAATAAAGCTTAGGATTCAGAAGCATCATTTCTAAAGAGTATTTTTAAATGCCCATCTCATAGTAACAATAAAACAAGAAAATAGGTCCAGGCTCACATTTTGTCTTGTGAAACCATATTAGCTCTTCATGAATATACATCTCCAAAGTTACTGATACAAAATATGTTTGAGTATATGCTCTATATTTCATCAAATTATTCCATAAACTTTGGCAACTAGCTTTTTCACTTATTGTGTAAAAAACCACATTAGCCATTTGTCTAACTCGAGAGTACTTCCTGTTAGTAATGTCCTACCAAGAACACTAACAGCAACTCATTAATATCTTTTTGAGTTCCCTCAACTAGTTTGGATGGAATTCTGGGCAGGAAACTCTCAACTTCGTGGGAAACCCTGAAGTTCTCTTTTATCTTATCTTTCTTAAACTTTCTGTTTTTTAATTTAAAAATATTTTAATCTTTGTGTTGCAAAAAAGCTTCTCAACAAAAAAAAGTGATGGATCTGCAGAGGGAGCTACTCCTTCTACTTTGCTTCTGTAATCCATTATTTTAACGCTAGCATCAATGAGTGAATTCAGTCCTTATTCCAAAAAAAAATATATGTAGCATTTTTATGGTCCTGAACACCTGACTTCCCAGTTCATGATGGGTTTGTCCCTCAAGACACTGTTCCTTAAAACTGTAGTTTGTTCTCTTGAGCATGTTCTGGGACAGTTCCTTTTTTTGCACGTTGAATTTCTTGTAGGACATCTGGTGTAAATGTCCCTGTTTGGTCTGGGTCATTTCCCCATTTCTTCCTCGCTCAGGTGATTTGTTTTTAACCATCCTAGTTTTTTATTTTGTTGAGGGGCCATCTCTCTTACAGTTGAAGCCATTATATTATATGAATTCTTTTCAGAATTTATATATATATTTCCTCACCAACTTTTCAGAATTTATATATATATCTCCTCATCGACTGCCCCTGTTGTTATTTTTAGTCTTTTTCCCACAATGATAATTCAGTTTACTCCATATGGTCCAGATAAGCCTGAAGATTACCCAAGGACATTCAACTTGGTAAAAAGAGTGATTTTCAAGAGGGTCATAACAAAGGGTTAATTAAAATGAGAAGTTAAGAAATGGAAACACACACACACACACACACACACACACACACACACACGTATTAGCAAAATGATAAGCAAGAAAATGCAAACATTCTGGAAAAAGCCCAGGGTGATATTACCCAGGTAAAATTAAGGCACAAAGTCTCTGTTTGGGGCATCTGGCTTGGGTGGGGGAGTAATATAGATGCTGGAACTGATTTTACTTATACTGAACCAACACATTCCTCCTTATTGGTCAGAATTAGCATGACAGCACAACTGTCTCTTGCACCTTCCTTCTGAGAGATAAAATTGCTAACAAAAAAAAAAGGATAAAATTCACCCAGATGTATTAGCTATATACCCTAATTTCAGGAAGTCTGTGTTGCAATCAAATAGCTTAAGTTTAAACGTTGTTTTGACATTTATTGATTTTTACAATGTTTGGCAAATTCTTCACTTCTCTAACCTTTTTCTTATCTATACATTGTAGTAACATGCACTTACCTTATGTTCTAATGAAAATTCAATAAGACAAAACTAAAAAATGCAATGTACACTTCAAAGTAATCAATAAATAACATTGATTATAATCATTGTCTCCAAATAAGGCATCTAGTTGATGTTTAAATGATGTATCCAGTGTCTACTATATTAAATGTCTGTGCAGATTTAGGATGGGAGCCCTCTGTTCCTTTCATTTATCTAACCATCATATAATCTCCTCTGGCAACAATGTTATCTCTTTTCCCCCTGTGTATTTCTCCTCTCTATTCTCCTCAGCACCTCATATGCAACCTCATGGATTCTTGTGGACATATGCTCTTGCTGGGACATACACACTGCCACCCATCAGCAGTCGATTTAGTTGGTAAGGGATTTCCTTCATGACTATGTTCCATATGTTTTAAATCTAAACCCTTCAGGTCTCAGTGGTAGCTGTGAGACTACATTTACTAACATTTAAAATCTGTGTGCTAGATGTATTACCTATGATCTACCCATTTGCTTATACAAAGATGTGGCTATGTGTCATTTTGAATCCTCTCTAACCTCATTTTTTTTCCTTTAAATATTCTGTGCCTCCTCCAATTTTATATTTCCTTATATACTGTATCCAATTTCTACAACACTAATGTTTTATGCATTATAATCTGGATATTTTTCTTCCTTCTTATTTTGAGTTTAATTTTCTTCTGAGCGAGTGGACTCATTTCTGAGCAAATCATCTTCCAAGCATCTCAGTTATATTGCATACCACTGAGGCCAGGCTTAGGGGTATCTCCAGATAGTCAACTATTCAACTGGCATTTCATCCTTTCTACTTCAAATCCTAGCCTTCTAATAGAAGAATAACACAAGATAGGTAAGGGCTTACTGGGGATCAATAAGACCCATGGTGACCCATGACTTAACAGTTATATAAACTGAATGCACCACTTAAACTCTCCCAACTACAGCAATACCTTTCCCTGCATTCTGTATTGGTAATTACCAATGAGATAAGGTTAGAGTTGTGTTTGGAAGCAGTAAATTAGAAATCAATTGTACGTTGTTAATTTTCACTCTTACAGTTATTATGAGAGATGTAAGCATACTGGATTACCTAGTACCTTCTCTGGTGCCAAATTCCACTGAAGTTGACTGAGAGGACATAGTCCACACCTAAGCTGCCTAAAAGAAAGTACTACTCAATGACCAATTTCATAAACCATTTAGGAATGCATAGAAAATCTCAGAAGCACTTGTGACTCTCTGGATGAGGTATTACACATGAATATATAAAATGTGATATATATTATATTAAATATACTAAATAGCATTGACTACATGATCTCTCCTTTTATCTAAAAGGAGAGAGAATATACAAGCAACAGTAGTAATTTGAAGCGAGTAGGTATCATTTCATTGTTAAATGTGAGAACTTTCTTTTTGTGGTTGGTTTTCTCTGGAGGTACTACTTTACCTTTATCTTCTTTCTTGGCGTTCTCTCAAATGAAAAAAAGAACGGATTTTACTATGTAAAGTTTACTGGTCCTGGCTTATTTCTTGAAGTGATCCTAGCTGATGGAGATTCAGAAGCTTAAACCTTCCCGCTTCTATTGTTTTCAGTGATGACAAAAGTATTGAAGATCACAAAGATGTTTCAAAAGAACTAAAGGCAGTTAAGTCAGCTTACAAATGTCTGGTAGACCTACTAGGGGCACCCTTTAGTAATTGCTGTACTTTAATCTGCTTATTCAAGATTTTTCATATGTTCATTCAAAACATTTTCAATGTCATTTTCAACCCATTTTAAAAAATTATTACACAAAATATTTTAATCTTTCAGAAAAGGAAGACCAAATTCTTGCAGACATATTCCATTTTAAATAATTCATTTTGCTTACACTGATTTAGATTAATATCAGTTCAATTTGTTGACATAATTTTTAAATTTTTAGAAAGATAAAATGTATAATATTTTGAAATTCATTGTTGTGTGTCATAAAATTATGATGGCATTGGAGTGTCGTTATATTTTTAGCACTCTGTAAAATAGTATTTCTGTCACTTAAGGCAAAATATGACCGTAAGTTATTGTTCAGATTAAAAATAAATCCCTTTAGATACTCAAAGAAGAAGTCATATTGGGAAGTGCAGCATTAAAACCCCAGGTAGGATTTAGAACATTTATGACAAGAAATGGAATATGTTACCTAACCATAATCTATTTATAAGGCTTATTTGAGTTAAATAAGTGCCAGAACATAGATTCATTTACCCAGACATCGAGTCTCAGTACCACTCCAGAGTCCATTTGCCAAGCACTCTCTGACATGTGATCCCACGAGTGTGTAACCTGTGTTGCACGTGAATATAGCTGTGGCTCCATACACTGTTAACGTTCCAATCTTGTTCCCATTTGGGGGAAAAGACAGGCTTCCACATGAGATTACTAAAAGAAAAAATAAATAAAGTGAATGTTATTTTAGGTCTGCAGACTACTTCTGTGTTAAAAAACAACAATTATCTTTAGTCTTAATTTTCATTAAGAACATGGTTAGGAAGGCTAAACAGACCAATCATCCAGGAAGCTTAATTTTCTTCTATTCTGTCCTTGAAATGAGACCTTAAAAGCTTGGAGTGAATTCCAAAATATCCTGAATCCCTTCACTTATCCATTAATGCTATTTTGTTTTCATCCTCAAGGGTAGATAAACCTTTCTTGAAAAAAATACACAGTATGCAAACATATTCACTATAAGCATATCTATCTAATGCATTGGCTATCTTCCTATCTTTCCATAAATATCAATCTCAACCAAGAATTATGTAATAGTGGATGTTTCCTTGAGTTTTTCAGGAACTAAGGAATGTGAATTGTCTTTAGCAAAGCCAATCAGCTGGGACAAAATAATGTGGTCTTAAAATCTAGGACTGTGCACTGCAATAGCAGTGCAGAGTTTATCTGTTCTTGTAGTTAGTAACCTGTATCGTTTGTTGAGATCATGAGCTTTATTAAGATGCTGACTATAGGACATGCAAAACTTTTGGAGAAAAATTTTTTTAAATGTATACAAACTACAGGTTTAATAACTGCAGCTAGAGCGAACCTATGCCACAAGTTTTCTACCTGTTGCCCAATCACAATAATTGATCATGTCTGCTTTCACCCAATAAAGTACTCTAGTTTGAGTGATAAATTAATGATCGCCCTCATTATATACACTTATTACACCCCATAAATCTCTGCAGTTCAAATCCGTAAACACCTGAGGACAGAAAATTTGGCATTTCAGGGTTAGAAAGAAACTACAATGTAATCAAGATCAACTTCTCATTAGAGGCTTTAAATGTGTTGTCTACAGATAAGAATGGAAGTGTTAAAAACAATACTTAAAGAGGAGTGTTAGGAGCACTAGGTGAGTGCAGATGTATAAGGTTCTTAGGACAAAGTTGGCAAGTTGTAAATATTCCTGAGTCCTTATTTGTGGTAAACTGATCAGAGACAACAAAATATAGTGAGAAGAATGCAGATTCTGGCTGCAGGATATCCAGGGTCAAGCGTGATTCTGCCAATTTCTAACTGGGTGAGTCTGGACAAATTTTCTCAAGTCTGTGAACCCTGTCATGGGTTGGTAACAGCACCTTCCAAATAAGCCTCTTCACAGGATTGGAAGAGAGACCATGACTTGCATGTAATCAGGCTCAATCAGGGATAGCTAACAGTGAATAAATCAGGACCCATCTAGCGAAGTGAATCCAAAGTACAAAAATCTTTAAAGATAACTCAAATGAAGAAAAACCTTATGCATATACCACTGAGACCAGTCTTTTTAATTAAGATGATTCTACTTCAAGATAATGACAACCCAGGTTCTATTTCAAATGAACAGACCGACATAGCTAGGCAAGGTGTGTCCTATAGGGGGTTTTCCTACCAGGAATTTGGAAGTCCAAGTCAAGAGCACATCAAATATTGTTGTTGAGTAAGCCTTTATGATGTATTGTTTTGGGGATTGTTAAACTATTATGGTTTTGTGTCTTATGCATTTAGCAATATGCTAACATGTTTGCTGTACCAAATGTCAATGAATTCAAGTAGGATTTAGATTTTTACAATTTGTTATGAACTTTTCATTAAGCTTTTTCCCAAATACAGTGTGAACTTCACCTTGAACTATGGTATTTAAAGGTCCATTTGTAGCTATTTAAGATAATTGGATCTTGTCTTGAAACTTCAGTGTTTGTCAGAAAAGTATTAAATAACGATGAGTTCTGAGGACAATTCCTCTTAGAGGTCTCAACACAACTGTGCTTTGAATGTTAGACCAACAAGAAAGCTCTTTCTGCATGTGCATCTGTATTTTTTCTTTAAGCCTCTGTTAAAAAATATTCTGGTGACAGAACTATTCTAATTTTGTCCTCTAACAAGGTTTACTCGATTGTAAAGAAGAATTAATGGAGTTAAACTTCAGTTTTTCAGCATTTAAGTAAAGGGGTTTCAGATCTAGAGTGTCCTTTGGTAGTGAACTCAACACATTAATAAAAATAGCAGAAGCAATTTGGAAATCTTGTCTAATTGAAAGATAGAGAGATCACCCTGACCAATTAAAATAATCTTTGCCAGACTTCAAAGAGAAAGTCTTGTTTCCGTGTTATTTTTCTTCCCTCGAATTTCTAAAAATGAATTCAAGTTTGCTTTTTTTCTTCCAGTAAAGATGTATTCACATTCTCAATCTGAAGTACTTCCTCTAAATTCTCATAGCAAGTCTTTATGCAAAAGATGCTCAGCTGATAGCATTTAGAACATCCTCCAAACTCGATACCTATAGTGTAGTTTTTCAACATCACTGTGGATTACAAGGCATTTACCTCCCTTCCCACAGGAAAACCTCTTTTTCCTCCTTCTTCTTTCCTTCAACTCCACAATTATGTTCATGTCAAAAGGCATTCTACTTTTTAAAAATTGCATTGTGACATATCACTTCTTATACCTGTAAGGACAATATTCCAGCCAGAAATATAGATGCTACTTGAGAGTGTGACACACAAATAGAGGTTCAAGAGTAAACACTTTCAAATATGTTCTAGCTAAAAGAGCCAAATGAATATGCAGACTACCCTGAACAGCAAACAGCTGGTGCAGATGCATAAGCAGGGCAGGGTTCTTCACCATGAAGAAACAGCTCTGAGGAGTCAGGACAGACATGTTCAAACACAAGAAGACATGCTGTGTAGACCAGAGTCTGGAATGGTTTTATTAGGCCTGGAGGTACAGAGCTAAGATCAATCACTGGATATAAGTCAAATAGGAGATCTCACTCAAAGTGAAAGTACTCAAACAGCTGTCTCTGGGGCAATGAGCTGTCACTAGAGTTATTTGATGTTAGCTGAGCATTTACTTGTGAGTATCTTATCAAGAAAATTCAACTATAGGTCATCCTGAGTGATGTCCAATGTTCACTTCAACAATGAAATGGAAATGCCCATCCTGCAGTTTCCTAGGATATAGATTAAATACATCTGCAGATAAATACACACTTCCATACATTTAATGATCAATCCAGGCATACTTCTAGTAACAAACAAGAGATTTTCAAAGACCACCTACCCACTTCACAGTTTGACTGAGATCTAATTTGAGAGAACTCTTCAATGAGCAGTTAGGAAAAAGGTATAGTCTAGAATATAGGTTATGTTCTTTGAATATCTATAATATAATAAAATTCCAAGGTAGCTCACTGTGTCTGTGATTGTGTGCATAAAATCTGAAATGTAAAGATATATCTTCTGATAAATGAGTTTCTGCAGCAAACATTCTTCTTACTTTTTAATAGAAACAATAAGTCAAACAATAAAGAAATGTAGCAAGAAAAATAATAATAGCCTTCCATTTTTGTAAAAACCTTGTGCTAAGAAACTGTATTGGTACCCTTAGGTATTATATTTTAATCTTCTGTTATTGTCTCTTGATGGACAAGGCTGAGGAATTCACCACTTAAGAGTGAGACTAAGGTCTTTTGTCCTATTCACCATGGAGACCTGGGACTCTCTTTAAGAATATTAGAACAGCCTGGGTTTAGAATAGCACAAACAACTTCAAAAAGTGCTGAATTTCCTGGCTGATTTTGCAGTTGTTACGAATGCTCTTAAAAGGTGATCAAAGTTCACCTCTGCATTTAGGACTAACTGGACAAGCAGAATGGGAAATGCTAACATTTCCAGGCCCTAAGCAGATACAGGAAGCACTTGACTTCTTAGAGGTCTCCCAGGCAGACCCATTCTAAGATAAAGAATAGCTCCTTAGCTACATAAATAATTCAAATAATGGTACCCTTGAATAGTCAATTGGCCCCAATACAATCCAATGTGGAATGTGACACTGTGTTCCTTCTGCGAAGAAGCTACCACAGTGTGGCACATTGGGCTTACAAAAATGTGTCATTTTGTAAATTAAGAAATTACATGGTGTTTGAACTTCCTGTGGTTTATCATATGCTTAGTTAAGAGTAAATGATATTGTTACCAGGATTTATATTGTGTTTTTTTGTGAAAATGTAATGTAAGTGTACAATGAAATTAAAATGTTACAGCAAAAATAAATTAATGTATTTATTAATTTTTTTCTTGTAGATCACAGAAAATAATGTTTACATCTAAAGGCTCTGGAAATTATTTTTTTTCCACTTTATTTCGAGGAAGTAAACTTTTAAAGATCATTAGTAATTCTCAACATTATATTGGAAGTGGGTTTTTTTCCCCAATATTCTTAACTAGTTTTTGAGACAGTAGAAAGTTACCATATTGAGGTACTAAATATTTGTCCTGAATAAATAAAAATAATAATATTGAATATTGAACTAGAGCTTATTGAGAAAAATACGTAGATAATGACACTAGTACCAATAAAAATAAATGTTGAAGAAACATTTTAGACAAAAACTTAAATGATTTTTAGTTGTTTGTATGATTCCCTCCATTGCTCAATCTATTCTTTGTGTAATCTTAGATACCAAATGCCTTAAAACTTTGTATTTTGCTGTGCTCTTCTGAAACACCTCTTCTAAAAAGGTGATCCAAGAACTGATGGAAGTCCCTGATACCCTTCCAGAGGTCCATGAGCATTTCCCCTTCCGAATACTAAACTAGCAACCATTTATATTCTTTTTATAGATATTTCCACCAAAACAACTCGTAACAAAGTGAGTGCAGAAGCTGATGTGAGAATCCAGCCATTTTCTATTAAGCCAGACGCTAAACAGATTTGGTAAATTTTTAAACTATGACACTCTTCTCACTAACTTTTGCTTTGTTTGGAAATGAATGGATAATGAACAACAAGTCCATAAAATGTGCTGCTTATGTTAACACGTAATGGACTTGCTGCTTTAAATATATTAATACACATTTAAAATTTTCTCGGTTTAAATTAAGAAATGAAGCCGGGCTCAGTGGCTCAGCCTGTAATCCTGCGCTTTGGGAGGCTGAGGCGAGTGGATTGCCTGAGCCCGCGGGTTCGAGACCCGCCTGGGCAGGCGAGACCTCATCTCTACAATAAATCAAAAAATTAGCTGGGCGTGGGAGAGCATGCCTGTAATTCCGGCTACTCAGAAGACTGAGGAGGAAGGATCGCCGGAGCCCAGCAGGTCGAGGCTGCGGTGGTCGGGAGCGGCCACTGCACTCCAGTCTGGGCGACAGAGTGAGACTCCAACTCAAAAAAATAAAAAATAAAAAATAAAAATAAATTAAGAAATGAGTATTTTTAATTAATTACCAATTTTAATTTATAATATAGTAAAAATAAGAGGTTTTGGGGGGGGGTCCCACGGTAGGCAGAATTCTAAAATGGCTACCAAGTGTCCCTCCCTGGTGCAGACATCTTACAATCCCTACCCACTGGAAATGTTGATAAAATTGTGAGTAGGTTAGGAATTAGCTAACTTTGAGTTAATAAAAAAAAATCACATTATCTGGAAATTTGATCTGGCAAGGTGAGCCCTTCACAAGGACAGAGTCCTTACTGAATTCAAAGAGATTCGACTCAGAAGAGGGCCCCGTTAGGGTAGATCAGGAGCTCAGGGTATTTCCCTATTAACACAAGCAGCATCATGAAAACCTCAGCCACAAGCTGCTGGATATCAACTCTGCCCATGAGAGAAACCAATCTTGACCTCACCAGGTCTTCAGATGAGGATACAACCCTGGCAACCCTGTGAACTCAGCTCTGTGAGACCTGAATAGAGGACCCAGGCAAAATGTGCCATCTATTTGAACCCACAAGCTGTGACCCAGCACACTCTGAGTGTATCATCACTGGTTACATAGCAATGAAAAACTAACACAGGTCTTCAATTATTCTAAGAATAATTCTAAGAATATAAAGTTCCTGAGATGAAAACCCCCAGAGAATAACTGCTTTGAAAGAGGCCAGGATATACTTTCATAGAGGGTCTACTGAATTGCTTGGGTGAAGATATTTCTAAACACCTGTACTCTGGCATTATTTTCAAAACATTAAGGCAAGAGTTTCCCTAGGATATAGGCTGCTAAAATTCTAGACAACACAACTATGTGGACACAAAATCAAGTATTGCAATAGCTAGTACAAATATAGCATCTATGTTTCTAAAAAATAGGAAAAATCTTTGACAAACTCTTTTGTTAGTCGAAAATTGTTTTTAAAATTCAGTAGTAATATCCATATCAGACCTTCCGGGGAAAGGAAAACAAAACAGAAAATTTTCAGCTCATTCACAAGAGTAACATAAGAACTCTGTGTCAATATTCCCTACCCATTGACCATGTGCACAACATAATGTATTCCCATGGCAGACTTTGGTCTCTAATACCATCCTGCACCAAAAGGTCCCAGAACTCCTTAGAGAATAGCTGATCCCACATTCTGGTAAGAAAAACTCAGAATAAGTATAGAATACTCTGTCTTCAAGAAAAAACAGAGACCGTTTCAGAGATGTCAGAGGAACAAAATGATGAATCTGTGTAAAAGGGCCAAATTGTGAAAATCTGAACTACAAACATTAATGAAAACACAAAACCAAAAGTCAACAATAATTTCAGTTGGAATCTACTGATTCTTGAAAATGCCACATGTCTGTGGTGACATTCAAGAGACAAATAACAAAGTGTGACAGAACAGCTCAGGCCCAGCCATTCAAGTCAATGAACAATTGATAGTTTACAAAATAAACATGTGTCCCAGGATAACTGGATACAGGAAGATAAATGGGTGTGTGGTTGTTCTTTCTGAAAAAAACTCCATATCAGAACACAGTACATGAAATTACTGGCAGGAAAACAGACCTTCCAGAATTACAGAGGCTGGAGGCAGAAATACCGGTCAACGACAGCAGAGCCCTGACTTTGCTTTAATCCCTCAAATGAGGTTAGCTCCTTGCTGCTAATGACTTTGGTTCAAGAATTCGCTTTTTGTAAAATTCCTGTAAATAGAGAAGTCTCAGTTGTAAGTATCAATTTTTCTGGAATGGAGATTGAACCATTAGCACAGCAAATGCCATCTAGCATGACCCTGCCCTGAGCACACAGGAACACTATAGCTGGGCATCCCTGGGAAATTAGGGAGAAAAGAAAAGGCTATATTGTGCTTGCTGAATCTGCAGAAGCCTTGCGTGAAAACCCCAATCCCAAGAAGTTAATGGATGTCTTGCTTTTAAGATACTGTTTCTGGTTGGAAACTGAAGAGAGGATGCTGGCTGAAAGAGTCCAAAATGTGTGCAAAAGGTATGTGTTCCTAATTCCTTCCCCTCATATCTCCTAGCTGGCCCTCACGCCAGTCTTCAATCATGAGTTGATTTTCAAGGGTGAATAAATACGTAGATAACTGGCAAGAATGTAGGGAGGGAGAGCATTTACTAATCAGCAGAAGGGTGATAGGAACTTCACTACAAACTCAGTGATCAGGTCATTTATCGCCCAAATGAAGATGCTATTCAGAGGGACAAGGAACCATTAACAGTCACCCTGGAAAACAGGCTTCAGACAGGGCTTTCCTGGGAAAATGGGGACACTGTTCACCATGACCATGAAGAATTAGAGACCCTTAAAGTTAACTATCCTTCCTGATTTATCTGTGTGCTCCTGGTGAAGAGCTTTAGGTACATGTTTAATTAACATGTGTTATATTCATTCAATTAAAATTATTATCAAAGACAGTTAAGCATTCATTCTTTTATATTTCTCCTTTTTTAAATTCTGGTTTATTCTTCCTAAGCTGTGTATTTTATAAATTATACACTGGTCTAACTACTTGTTTCTGTGCATGATAATTTCCTGTGAACAATCAACTAAAGATTGTATATTAAATATGTCTGAATCAAATAGTGCTCTAAACAATACTAGTATTGTTTTAGTTTTCTATTTATTCATATTTATTCTGAAACTCACTCAAAGCCTTAACTGCTTATCTTGTACCTAAGAGAATAATCATCTCCCTTTTCAAGATAGCCATTATTTGAGAACACAGTTATCTTCAGCAACAATACTATTTCCCAAGACTCTAATTAGAACAGTTGAATAGACAGTGCATGGAATAAGAGTTATCTTTTTACGCATAGGTCTGCATTTGTTTTTGAGCTGATATGAAATATTTGTGTATTCTAACACTTTATAAAATATGATCACTAATAAGGAAAAGACAACAGCTAACAGTTAATCCAGCAATCATGTGGCTTAAAGTGTCACAGGAAAATACATATTCGCCACTATAATGGAAAGACATGCCATTAGATTGCCTTTTTCTAATTTTTTAATTTTTATTTTAGACTCAGAGGGTACACATGCAAATTCATTACATGGACATATTGTGTAGTGGTAGGGATTGGGTTTCAAGTGGCCCATTCCACAGACTGTAAACACTGTGCCCCACAGGTAGTTTCTGAACCCTAACCCCTTTCTCCTTCATCACTTATTGGTGTCCCCAGTGTCTATTCTTTTTTTTTTTTTGGAGTTGAAGTCTCACTCCTTTGCCCAGGCTGGAGTGCAGTGGCACGTGCATGGCCACCCCAGTGACGACCTGCTGGGCTCTGCCTTCCAAGTAGCCTCAGCCTTCCAAGTAGCCAGAACTACAAGCTCACACTTCCACGCCTGGCTAATTTTTTATTTTATTGTAGAGACACGGTCTCGTCAACCTGCCCAGGCCAGTCTCGAACCCATGGGCTTAGGCAATCCACTTGCCTCAGCCACCCAAAGTGCTGGGATTACAGGCAGAGCCACCAAATCTGCCCAATGTCTATTATTTCCATCTTTGTGACCATGTAGCTCCCACATATGAGTGAGAACATGTGGTGCTTGGTTTTCTGTTTCTGAGTCCGTTTACTTTTTGATCTATAGAACTATGATCGATTAAGTGTCTTTGGAGGAGCACATCATTGAAGGTGGGTGGGAAGTAGAATGCCATTGTCATCTGGGCGTGGTCCCTGCCACTTACCTCTACAGCTCGGCCGCTCTTCTCCTATGCTCCACGTCCCATTAGCTTGGCATTGTACTAGCCTCCGGCCCTCTAAGTAGTAACCAGGACTGCAGCTCAGCAACACTTGAGCTCCGTACTCATTCAGTGATCCCGAAACCAGTCTCCAGATAACGTGTTCTGATAGCTGTGCCTCAATGCTGGAGCAAAGTACCGCTAGAAGAGAAACAGACTCAACATCACCATTTTTTTTTTCTCTCAAGGGATCAGACCATGTTCACTTTGAATGGCAAGGGCCTGCTATATGAAACCAATTGTGTTGAGCAAAATCAATGTCATTATATATTATTTCAGGTTGTCTCTACGATCTACATGGCTACATGGGAATGAGCCCACAATGTAAAATGCAGATGTGTGGAATTCTCACAGTGAGACTGGGAAGAAGGGAGTAAATCCCTCCCACAATGCATATGGTTCATTGGAGTGGATGAACATTCTCATGAGGGTCATGAGTACATGTATACAATAATCTTGTGCATAATTTGCCTCAAGATATTCTGAGAAACTTGGAATGGTAATTGTGTAATTGAAAATCAGCTTGGGCACTCATTTTCAGAAAGTCAAATGTCCTCATCTCTTCCTTCCTATGAAACAATGATGTGTAGTAAATCTGTATATTATTGGATTTATAAGCACAGAGAAATACATAGGCACAATGCAGTAATATTGTTCAGGACAATGTTTAACAAGTCTTAAAGGAAAGTATCTATTCACTCCCATAGGAAAAAGGCCTAGAATATAGTAGTTGCTTAATAAAAAGCAGTGGTAATGATTGTAAGAGTAGCAACAATAGCAGTACTACTAATAGTAGTATAATATTACCAGGGTGAACATCGAGGAATTTAGAAAATATACGCTAAAAATATATATTTATAAAATGTATGCAGATTTTTAGTTTCATGTGAGTGTATCTTTCTTTGAAAAGTGCAATAAGATTTAAAATAAATAATACAACGTTAAGAACCAGAACCACCCTACCAAATATGAAGCTTCATTAGCTAACATCCATCACAATAAACTATCAATAAAATTGACCAGATTGATTAATGTATTGATCCTGGAAGAATTAGCTAGTGAAATCATAGTTTATTTCAGAACGATAGTAATGATTATATTTTAAGTGTACATTCTTTTTAGGTTAATTAGCTTGATCAGTTGATTTTTTTTTTAATTTTCAAGATGTAGGGTAGAATTCTGGATTAGATATACAAGTGGTCATTGTACAGGTGAAGTTTGGGCCTCTCCTTGGTCCCCACTTTGCCTGGTATGAGACTTGGTACCCCTACTGATGTTAAGTGCTCTCCCACTATATTTACATTATATACAAGTTCATTATAACTGAGTCACACATCACCAAAGTATTACAAAAGTCTTACTTAGTCTTAGTTTGGTAATTTACAGGTACTGTGTGCAAATGAACTAAAAAAAAAAAAAAGACCTTTCTGGTATCATCACAATTATACAATAATTGTTCACCTGTTTAAAATGTGAAAAAAAAAATAAAATCTTAAAGTAACCTTTAGTTTTATTTATCTTAGGTATTTTTTAGATAAAAGAGTTATTCTACATTTATATGGATATTCAAATATTTTACCCAATAATATAAATAATATTTTTCCCCAACCCAGAATACCTTTAGAATTTCAGGTAAGATTGCCACTCTTGAAAAGATTTTTAAAAGCTTTTAGCCTTAAAAATCTATAGCTCAATTTGAATCTAACTGCATACTCTATTTCAAATAAAATGTATTTCATCAAAAATATGCTTCAAGAATTTACTTGATTGTTTTTAATAATCTGAAATATATTTTCAAACTCTATTACTGTCAAGAAGGATTCAACTTTGGATTATACAAAGGAAGAAGCAGTTTCTTTGAGCTAATATCATCTGTAGCAGTAATTTACAAATTATGCATGATTGCTTATTTCCTCATTAAAATGATATTTAATTTGTTTTGTGATTATATTTTTCTAGTGCAATTGTTTGCTTACATCACTTTTTTCCTGCTAGACTATAAGCTTACTAATTATAAATACTATGCCTTTTTACAATTATTTTTTAGTACAGTGGCAATGTAGGTGCTGAACACATATATTTATAATTAGGCTTGTGTTTGTATGTCTACGTGAATGTGCTTTGTAATATAACTAGCCAAGAAAGAAAGGGAGAAAGCAAAAGCCCATGAGTGGAAATTAAGAATAAACGAAGAACTGGAATAGATATTAATATTAAAATCCATCTTGTCCTGTGTTTACTGAAAGAAGAGAGCTAAGAGTAGAGATTTTCAGAAACTGGTGTGAATTTTGATGATATTTCATATTTTCTAAAATAAACTGAGGGAGAGAGTATACCAAAAAAATCCGACTTTGAGTAAGCTATGATGTGATTTGGGAGGGGAAATCCCAGGTAATTCAAACCAAGAATATGTGAGACCATTTCCTCTCAACCGTGGTGCAAAAGGTTCAGGCTTTGTCAGTTGCATCTACGGGCATGCCTGCATTCATGCAAAGACAATGCCGGTCTCCATACAAGAATCTGCTCTGACTTGCTGCTGCCAATCAGGTTGTTCTTTGCCTTGACCTAACAAAATAATGTAGCCAAAATCTGATAATAGAGCTGTGACCCTTGTGGGAGAATAATGAACTCAAGTGGGAACAGAACACATTTCAGGCTTCTGCATCTGCTCCATCCTCCTAATTCTCATTTCTGCGTCGTCCCTAGTCACTCAGGCAGAACCCTGAAGACTGTGTCTCTCTGACTTCATTCACAATCACCCACAGTATTTGCACTTACCCTTTCCAGCACATTCCACTTCATCCTCTTCTATGTGCCTCATTACCATGGCCTTAATCCATTATCTACAGAACAGACTCTTAATTTTTGTGCAAAACTTTACTTGTACACCATTAAAAAATCTCAAAGATTATTATTCTTTTTGTGCTTCATCAAAAATGAACGAATTTTGAGATATGTTCCTTCTATACCTAGGTGTTGGAGGGTTTTTATCAAGAAGGGATGGTGGATTTTATCAAAAACTTTGGTTTTATACCTCGAAAATCCAAAGGATTCTGTCAAAAACCTGCTTACACTGATAAAGGACTTTGGCAAAGTCTTGGTGTACAAATAAATGTACAAAAGACAGTTGCATTCTTATACACCAATAACAAGTAGGCAGAGAACCAAACAAAAATCACAATCCCATTCATAATAGCCACAAACATACACAAAAAATGAAATACCTCAACATCTTCCTAACCAGAGAAGTGAAAGACCTTTACAATGAGAACTACAGAACACTGTTCAAAGAAATACAAGAAGACACAAGCAAATGGAAAAATATTCCACGTTCATGGTAGAAAGAAACAACGTTGTTAAAATGTCCGTATTACCAAAGGCAATCTACAGGCTCAACACAATACCCATTAAATTACCAACATCATTCTTCTTCTCAGACCTGGAAATGATAATACAGAAATTTATATGGAAACATAAACGACCACGAATAGTCAAAACAATCCTTAGCAAAAGAAGCAAAGCAGGAGATATCACACTTCCAGACTTCAAACTTTACTATAAGGCTACTGGCATCAACACAGCCTTGTATTGGTACTAGAACAGGCATATAGAGCAATGGAACAGGATAGAGAGTCCAGAAGAAAAGCCTCAATTTCTCAACCAACTCATCTTTGACAAAGCCTCAACAACAGCCACTGGGGAGAGGAGAACCTATTCAATAAATAGTGCTGGGAAAACTGGCTGATCACATGCAGAAGATTGAAAAAGGACCCCTACCTATCACCATACACAAAATTTAACTCAGTGGATCAAAGACCTAAAGCAAAACCTCAAACTATAAGAAAATGCAGGAAACACCCTTATGGAAATTGGAACTGGTGACCAATTCCTGATCAAAACCCTAAGTGCCCATACCTTAAGAAATAAGATAGACAAATGAGACCTCATCAAACAGACGAGCTTCTGCAAAGCAAACGAAACCATCAAGAGAGCCAGAAGACAGCCCAGAGAATGGGAAAAAATATCTGCCAACTACGTATCTGACAAAGGCCTAACATCTAGGATCTACAAGGAACTCAAAAATGCTAAAGGGAAAAAAATAAACAGCCCCATTAAAAAAGTGGGAAAAGACATGAATAGACACTTCTCAAAAGAAGATATATGGGCAGCCAACAGACACATGAAAAAGTGCTCAGCCTTGCTCATTATCAGAGAAATGCAAATCAAAACCACATCAAGATACCACCTAACACCAGTAAGAATGACCATCAGTAATAAAACAAACAACAACAGATGATGGCGAGGATGTGAAGAAAAAGGAATGCTTCTACACTGCTGGTGGGAATGCAAACTAGTGCACCCTCTTTGGAAGACAGTGTGGTGATTTCTGAAAGAACTAGAAATTGACCTTCCATATAACCCAGCAATTTCCCTGTTGGGAATATACGCGGAGGAACTCAAATCATTTTACAAGAAAGTTATCTGCACATGTATGTTTGTTGCAGCTCTATTCACAACAGCAAAAACATGGAACCAACCATGCTGCCCTTTGAAGTTGGACGGGATTTAAAAAATGTGGTACATATACACGAGGGAATATTATGCAGCCATAAAGAAAGACAAACATATGGACTTCGCAACAACTTGAATAGATTTAGAGTCTATCATACTCAGTGATCGATTACAAAAACAAAAAACAGAGTATCATATGTTCTCACTCATAATCGGACCTTGAACAGTTATTATGATACTGTAAGAAAGGTATTGGCAGTAGTGGAAAACTGCCAGGGAAGGGTGGGTGAGATTGGCAGTTGAGAGAAACTGCCAGGGGAGGTAGGGGCACATCTCATCAACAAGTACTTGCATAATGAACATTTGTATACCTAGCCCTGAATTGGACCCCATATCTTTAAAATAAAATTTTAAAAATGAAAAAATTTTCCTCAAAAGTTTGAATCATTGGCAAATATGAGAATGTGATATGAAAATTATGGTCAAAGTGTCCTTAAGTAAAACACCACTTTTACCCAGATCCAAGATTAACAAATTGATATCTTTGAATATTCAATTTTAAAAAGTACATGTCTACTCGACAAAGTTAATTCATTCCTTGTTCTCTTTTAACTCACTCCCATGGTACA